CAAGAAAGGTGTCAAAGTATTCAAGTTCTGGGATCCAGTTGCGAAGAAAGTTGTGATTAGTAGAGATGTCGTTTTTGATGAACAATCCATGTTGCAGCAGAAGCAAGACACGACAATGGTGGATTTCAAGCAGTTTCCAGTTGAGAAACCAGAAACTTCTCAACCGACTTCTGGTGGTTCCACTACGGATGATTTGCAGGATTATAGTCTCGCCAGAGACAGGGTGAGACGGACGAATATAAAGCCTCCGAACAGATTGGGTTTTGAAGACTTGGTATCTTTTGCACTTATTGTTAACAGTGATGATCCGGTTACTTTTCATGATGCCGTTACTAGTCAGGAAAACGACAAGTGAATGGCAGCCATGGTTGAGGAGATGGAGTCTTTGAATCACAATCGCACATGGGAGTTAGTTCCTCTTCCTGAGGGTAAGAAGCCGATTGGTTGCAAATGGGTGTATAAGAAGAAACCAGTAGTAACAGAAAAAGAGGGGGAGAAGTTCAAGGCTCGTTTGGTAGCGAAGGGTTTTTCACAGCAGAAAGGAGTTGATTATGATGAAATCTTTTCTCCTGTGGTCAGGCACACTTCAATCCGAGCAGTACTTGCATTGGTGGCTAGTTGGGATTTGCATTTAGAGCAGATGGATGTTAAAATGCTTTTTTGCATGGTGATTTAGAGGAGCAGATCTACATGCGACAACCTGAAGGTTTCACTCAACCTGGAAACGAGCATTTAGTTTGCAGATTGAAGAAATCTTTGTACGGGTTGAAACAGTCTCCGAGACAGTGGTATAAACGGTTTGACTCCTATATGATCAAGATTGGCTACAACCGATGTGAGTATGATTGTTGTGTCTATGTTAAGAGCCTTGATGATGGTTCTTTTATTTTTCTATTACTGTATGTTGATGATATGCTGATTGCTGCGAAGAACATGGATGATGTTATCAGTTTGAAAACTTTATTGAGTCAGGAATTTGATATGAAAGATTTAGGTGCTGCAAAGAAAATTCTTGGAATGGAAATTTGCAGGGACAGAGACTCAAGGAAACTGCGGCTATCTCAACGGGGTTATGTTGAGAAAATGCTAGAAAGGTTTGCGATGAGCAGCGCGAAACCAGTTAGCACTCCATTGGCGAATCACTTTAAGCTCTCATCAGAACAGTGCCCCAAGACAGATAAGGAAGTGAAGATATGGCAAAGGTTCCGTATTCTAATGCTGTTGGCTGCTTGATGTATGCGATGGTATGTACTCGTCCTGATTTAGCTCATGCTGTTAGTCAAGTTTGTAAGTACATGTCTAAACCTGGTAAGCAACATTGGGAAGCAGTCAAGTGGATCTTTCGGTACTTAAAGGGTACTGTGGGACATGGAATTGTTTTTGGGAGTCAGCGGGATAATCCTTTGGTTGTAGGATATGTGGATTCAGATTATGCAGGTGACTTGGATAATAGAAGATCTACGACAGGGTATGTGTTTACTCTTGGTGGAGGGCCTATTTGCTGGAAGTCTACTGTTCAATCTGTCGTGGCACTATCTACACTGAAGCTGAATACATGGCAGCGGCTGAAGCTGCAAAAGAAGCTTTATGGCTTACTGGTTTAGTGAAGGAGTTGGGTGTTCAACAAGGTGGAGTTCAGTTGCTTTGTGATAATCAAAGTGCTATTCACTTGGCTAAGAATCAGGTGTATCGTGCTAGAACTAAACATATTGATGTAAGGTTCCACAAGATCAGAGAGTTGGTTGCATCTGGAGAGGTTTTGTTTCAGAAGGTACATACTGATGAGAATGCCGCTGATATGTTCACCAAGCCAGTTACGACAGACAAGTTCAAGCATTGCTTGGACTTGTTGAATGTTTCGAGTTGTTAAAGAAGCAAGGTAACCCAACCCACATTGAAGTTTCCAAGGGGCAGGATATTCGCCAAGGTGGAGATTTGTTAGGTATGGCTCATAAATATACCAGTAAACTTACAAAGAAAGTCTCGTTGTGGGGTTACAAATTATGTGGGTTGGGGGTGCGGGGGCGTAGCCCCGCGGTACGGTACAGGGTTGATTTTATAATTATGTACCAGGATTTTCTATTATAAATAGAGATGTAACCTAGACCTAAAATATCATTGAATAAAAACTTCTAGCGCCGCCTAGGCACCGAGGACGTAAGCACATTGCCGAACCTCGTAAAATTCTCGTGTTCTTTTGTTTTCTTTACCCGTTTTCGTCAACAGAGTCCTTTGTTCATCCCCAATTTTTATCCAAATGAAACGTTAAAGTCAAAATGCTTCAAAAAAAAAAAAGAATAAGAGCTAGAGTGATATTTTTTTATTATCAAATGTTAGAGTCCTTTTTACCCTTAAATAAAATATTATGAGTTAAAATGCTCCGGAAAAAAATAAGAGTCAAAATAATCATTTTAATAAATGTTGGAGAGTTAAATTTATTTTTTAATAATTATTTATAAATATAGACAAATTTACATAAAATATAAATTTTATATTTTAAAATAATACATTTTTTATTAATCTCATGTAAGTATAAGGTAATATCCGTTTAAATATAACTTTTAACCGTTTGATATTAAACATTAACACTATTATTATTCATGATCTCGAACTCGAGACCTAAAGTAATATAAGATAGATTTAAACAAATATAAATTGTAATAATCTCGTACATAAAATCGACATTTAATCTTGACCCAGGAAATAGTCCAATACAAAATGAATTAATAATTATTTGGCTCAACAAACCCCAAATTTCTACCCTCCACCAAATCGAATTCCTCGTTAGGGGTGTAAACGAGTCGAGTCGAGCTCGAATATTGTGGAGCTCGACTCGACTCGAAAACTCTGAAATGGAGCTCGACTCAATTCGAAAACTCGCGAGTTTAAAATTTTCAAGCTCGACTCGAACTCGAAATCCTGAACTAAAGTTCGTGAGCAGCTCGAAAAGGCTCGAAATGAAAAAAAATCTTAAACTTAACTCAATTGAAGCCTCAAACTCAAACTCAAACTCGAACATGAACCTTAAATACATGAAAATCTTACTGTATTTTTTTTAAAAAAAATCAATACATAAATGTTAATATTATTAATAATTTATTTTTAAAAAATAAAATCTTAATATATTATATTTTCGAGCTGCTCACGAGCTTTTCGAGTCAAATATCAAGTAGCTCGTTTCGGCTCATTAATAACTCGAGTCGAGTCCATTCGATCAGAGTATTTATCGAGCTTTGATCGAGTCGATTTCGAGTAACTCACGATCTATCTCGTCTCATTTACAACTCTATTTCTCGTATCATCTCTTTCCGTAACATTTTAAGTTTCCCGTCTTAGTATCCTCATTTTTTAAGAGGACCGATTTATCCATTTTCCAAATTAATAGGGACTTATGAGATATTTACACCATTCGCATAAGACTTGTGTTTTTAGGAATAAGTTACGAAGTTCTAGGGTTGTTTAATCATGCGGGAAGTAATCTATGTCTTACTCGTGTATAGTTATTGAACGTTAAATTGATCAATACTCAATAAAACCTTATATTTACCGCAAATGCCTCATCATAAGCTTTTTAACTTTGAATTCCATCTTAGTGCATCACTAGCAAAAAAATCATTGTTCCTTTTAGCTTATCCTTTTAAAGCAAGATGGAAAGGTTTCCTTTAGTTGTATTCTCGATATCGATGATTCTTTCGATTCGATTTACGATAGGTTTAGAAGAAGATAGGGTTCAGGCAGAACTACCCCAAGAAGAAGAAAAAATAACGTTCTTTTTAGTTTTCGAAACTATCATGGAGAATCTGGTGAACGCTAAATTAGTAGATCGCAATATCTTGAAGAATAAATTCGTCGAAAGTAAGTTCGATCAAGCTTATAAAAGGGCCAAAGAAAATCGAAATCCTTCGTCGGTAAAAGTATCCCTGGAAGATGAAAAACAACTTTTCTATGTAACTCTGGAGGACACCCTCGAAATGGTGGCAAGTGGTGGATTAATAAACCGAGATGTTGTGAACAAGAAACTCTATCCGGGGGAAGCAAAGACTTTAGCACCCGGATTTGATTCAATGATCACTCAAGCCATTCAAAAGGCTCGAAGGGTTGATAAAGATAATGCTGATGCTTTAAAGGCTAAACATGATCACCCATAGAGATGCACATGTAATGTTATTGATCTAAAGGCTATAAAGTGTTCTCAAAGTTAAAATTTTAAAATTTAGGGTAAAATGTGCACTTAGTACCTAAACTATTAATTTTGGTCCGTTTTAGTACTTAAACTTTAATTTAAAAAAAAAATAACGTTAAATTTTGAAAGGGTTGCTAAAATGAAACAAAAACTAAACTTTAAATATGATTTTGGAAAAAAAGAAAAGAAAGTTTAGGTACTAAAATGGATAAAAACTTTAAATCATGAGCTTATAATGTATGATGCTGATTCATACATATATGATACTTTCATATTCAACCAAATTAACCTATAATGCATATTATACATATCAAACATGATTCAATCATGATACTTATCATACCAACACATCTATCATTCTTTCTAAGCTAAAACTAACAACCACTTAGTCCATCCCCTTATGTCATGCATCTATGATCCTTCATCACATCCGTCCCCTTATGTCATGCATCTATGATCCTTCATCACACAGGTATTATAAACCATAAGCGTTATACATAATTCACATAAACCAAACACGAAATATAAAAAGCCTTCAAACCTCCTTCCAGAGGTGGCAATCGGACTAGTTCGAGGCCAGTAATTTTGGGTTTGAGATATTTCACATTCGGATTCAGATCTTTTCAAGTTTAAGTTTTTTTTGAGGTCTAAGCTTTTAGGTTCAGGCTTTTTCGAGTTTAACTTTGAGTTGGGTTCGAGTTTGTGTTATGTTATAGTAATTAAATGGAATATCTTCGATTTGAGGTAATCTGTAATCTTAATCTCTCTTATCGAGTTGCAGATACGAAAATTGAATGGAAATATGGGAGTGGAAGTCCAATAAAACAATATAATCATTTCATTTTCAGTCAAACCAACCAAGGGAGCCGATTGCAGTTAATTAACAAACAAAATAAACCTTGATATTTACAAAAGATGGAAGAGTAATTCATTCCACACATCAGGCACACCAGGCAAGCACCAGTGTATGCAGTCAGAGTAGCTTGCAGGGTTTCCCAGTTGCTGTGGGCTGAGTGCCTCCCAGAATTTCCTATAGATGGAAGGGTGCCCATCTTTTCGATATTCCGAGAGCTGTGTGACGTTGATAACCGATACCTTCGAACCCAAACGGGAAACCAAATCATCCACCATGCGCATGGTAGCCAAGTTTGACCCACTTCCCCAGTACCCCTCCCGATCGATAGGCCTCGTTTCGTTATAGCAGTTTCCTTCACTTCCAGCTTCCCACTCTCTTTTCCTAATCATGTCAAAATGTTGGCAAAAAGCTCATATCAGATGACGAGAACCACATAAGGAAACCCTAGCAGGAACATACCATAGAGGCTTTATTTATCACACAAATCTATGTGAGTACAGCCCGACGATAGTCATGTTAGAGCCTCCGTACTCCATAGTGCACTATTAGTCTTAGAATTCATCTATCTTTGCTTCAAATGCCTCTAAGCTATGATTTATGGCATTCAATATGTTTGCAGGCTTTCACTAGATTACTTATCCGGACAATAGTCCTTATGGTGCCTCCGTGATGCACTACTAGTGTTAGAATTCATCCATCTTTGCTTCAAATGCCTCTATGCTATGATTTAAGGCATTCGATAATTCCCAGGCGTTCGTTAGATTACTTATCCAGGCAATAGCCCTTATAGTGCCTCCGTTATGCACTATTAGTCTTAGAATTCATCTATCATTGCTTCAAATGCTTCAAATGCTTCTATGCCTATGATTTATGGCATTCAATAAGTTTGCAGGCTTTTGATAGGCGATTTATGCAGATGATATAGATAAGTATAGAATAATTCAGTTTAGGGGAAAAGGTCCATCCTCACCAGAAATGTGTCGGCGACATTGTAACAAAAAAGACACGTTTCTTGAGGGGAATGACCTTTGATGCTACCCAGTCTGCCCAAGCTCCCATGGCCAGTTCCATTGCTCCTAACCCGTCGAGCTCCTCGCAGGCTCCATTTTCCTCACCACCCCACCTGCAAAAGTTGAAAGCATACTGGGAATTCAACACATCTTTAAGATATTTTCACCGTAATTAAACTAGAACCGATCAACCATTGTACATACAACATCTTGACCGGGCCTTGTCTCCACCATAAGTACGAGTTAAAAACTAGTATATCTGCATGCTCCCATTGTGCTGAATGCTTGAGTACTGAATCGGGACGGATGATTCGTTCAGTCAGTCTGTGTTTCACCGGATCATCAGAATTAGACTCAACCAGGAGCGGAGCCCAGAGAAATTCCACTGTCGCATTATATTCCTGCAAAAGACACAAGAATAGCACGATTGGCAACGATGTGCTGCAATATCAGATAACCAATATCCATCACCAGCATTATATTCGTTGTTTCCCGGCTTACCTCTGCTCTGAAAATTGTGAGCTGGGCATTAGGAGTCATTGATCTCTTATTTGCCGGGATCACCGACTGCAACAAGCACACCATTGATATCCATTGGTTTCTATTCAGAGAATCTCCCACAAACATTAGTCTCTTCCCTCTCAATTTCTCCCACATTTCGATTGCATTCCATCTGCACAAAGGAGGGACAAATTACATCCCATTCTTCAAATTGCATCAGTTGCCTATGTTGTTTGGACTCAGAGTCTACATTTCCTTGAAGTACAAACACGTCCGACATTCCGGTGCATGAATACAGGGATATGATCTCCGAGTATCCTCCGAATAAACGAAAAAGCATAGAAAAATCTTACTAATCCTGTGTCAAATACATAACCTTAACCAAGACTGGTACCCGAATCCAAGTAACATAGTTAATTGCTGCCTACAATGCACCCAATGGCCACTAGTATTAAATTGCAGCCGTACCATCCGCAATCACGACACTGCAGCCGTGATGGCGACGGCAATTTAATTCTACCCAGTTAACTAACAAAACGCAAGCAACCGAAAGGGCATTTACCTCTTCAAGTTGCAGCCATGAGGCTGCCATCTCCAGTGCTGGTACTGCAAATCGGACCTCCCATGCTTATGACACGCCAACTGCTCCGACATGTACGGACACTCGGACTCTTCGTAAAGCGGGTACGATCGATTATCGAAAACCCACTTTCCGGAGAACAAATCACAACTCTCCTGGCTTACACTCCGCCGCCGACCCAATTCCGCCTCCGGGTCGGCCCACCGGATTTTCTTCCCACTGAAGTTCCTAGTAGAGTTGCAGCCACTGAATCTATCCAAAACCTCTAAAACCCCACATAAATAAATACCCAAATCCCAGTTATTCTTCGATCAAAAGAAGAAGGAACAAAAGGTTGAAGATGGATAAAACACACCTGAAGCACGTTGAGGAAGATTTGGTTTGACATAAGTAAATGGAGTTGGTTGACTGCTGGGAATATGATCCGTGCTTTCATGGATCCGTTGAATGCTGAATTCGTTGTAGAGAACTGAACAAGCTATGAAAACCAAAAGCACGGCGAGTAAAGGGAAGTGTGGTTTCTTTCTGCTCCATTTACTCGACATGGGCATGGCTATGGGATCAAGCAGATAGCAGGAAGGCTCTGCCACTCAAACAAACAAGTAATTACTCCTTTTGGGTTACTAAAAATGAAAGGCTTTAAGGTAGGAGAAATCGAGTTTGATAATTAATACTTTTACTAATAAAAAAAGTTAATGGAAATTGGGTGATCAATAGTTTCTTAATTAGCTGTAATTAAGGTTGGATTATTCATCTTTGTTCCCACATTTAGCGGCGGTTGTGTAATGATTATTTATTAGGGAAATCATATATACACTGATTTATTTTCATAGTTTAATTTGAAGTCTATGCAAAGTTGTTGGGGGCAATTTGAATATTTTTACCAAATGATTGTTAGGTGTAACTGTTTTCTTTGTTAATTTAGGGCTTTGGAATTATTTAGATTTTTGGAATGAGTCAACCAATAGGTTGTGTAGGGATTCTATTTAGGGTTAAATCAAGGGATGGCATGGGACCTAAATCTCGAACCGGATCTGATCCGATCAAGTCGGATTTTTAAAAAAAGTTTGGGTTTGGGTTTAGGGTGAAAAATATCCGATCCGACCTGAAAAAATATATAATTTTACATTAAATATTTAGGAATAATTATAATAATACCCCTCTATATATATATATATATTTTCAATTAAGTCACTGTTTTTATTGAATAAAAATATTTTTTTATTTCGGGTCGAGTCAGGTCGGGTCGAGTTTTTAAGTTATATATCGGGTCGGGTCTCGGGTGGAGGACTCCTTATTTTCGGGTCAGGTCGGGTGGACCAAAAACCCGACCCATGTCCATCCCTAATTAAATCTAAAGGGGTTAAAGGGTGATTGTACCCTTGAAAATTTTGTGATGGCATCACTATAATATCTTTTTTGGTCATAACTAATGAGATGAGCTCTTTAGTATTTAAATTAGAGTATTGAAATGACATAGATTAATTAGTAGATTGTGTCTCACGTATATACTTTTACTAAGTAAAAAAAGAACACGCTAGTTGTATCGAAGTTCGGGAGAAACAATAATTTTAGTTTACAATGGATAAGGATGTTATTGCTGACATAATAACCTCTATATGAAATGCTGACATGAATAGAAAAGGAACGATTCGAATAGAATCTAATAACATCATTGAAAATATCGTAAAAAATACTTTTACGAGAAGATTTTATCAATAATGTAAGGAAACATTGGGAACACAACAAATATTTTTTGGTTTTAACCCTACGCATAAAAGGAATAGCAAAGGACCACATAGAACTATTTTAAATTTATGAAGGATCAATTGATCGGGTCTACGAATCTATTCTAACTATCGACAAATTCCTAGAATTTTAGGCGGGATGGGGATTGTAATTCTTTCTACTTCTCAATACAATTTCTTTCAAATTCCATACACTATCCCAAAAAAAATTAAAAATGAAAATTTAATTTTTAATGTATGGAATACCTGGGTTGAATCGGATACAATTTGAAGGATTTTGTGGGTTCATGGATTGAGGCTTAACAGAAGAACTTTATAAGTTCCTAAAAATTGAAGATACAGATCAAGAAATTGAATTTCAATTATTTATAGAAACATATCAATTGGTGGAATCGTTAATAAAAGAAAGGGATGTCGTATATGAATCACTCACATATTCTTTAAAATTGTTTATTCTTGCATATTCTTATTGGTTTTCCAAGTTAATCCTGCGGATACATATAATTCAGAAGAATATGTGAGTGATTCATATACAACATCCCTTTCTTTTATCAACGGTTCCACCAATTGATATATTTCTATAAATAATTGAAATTCAATTTCTTGATCTGCATCTTTAATTTTTGGAAACTTATAAAGTTCTTCCGTTAAGTCTCGATCCATGAACCCACAAAATCCTTCAAATTGTGTCTGATTCAACCCAGGTATTGTAGACATTTTCCCATTTTTATCCCCAAGCATTTTGAATTTCCCGCTTATCAAAAAATCCCATTCTTTTCTTATTTTTCATAGAATCACATGAATCGATCTAATAATGATGGATTTGAATTTCTATTTTGTTTACTGAATCACATGAAATTTTATTATTTAACTCCATATAATATATATGGAATGTGTGAAATTTGATTCACACTCCATGTTCTGAGAAATATTTACCATCCGAAAAACGAAAAAAATAGAGCCTTTGCCTAAAGAAATGAGTTGAGAAAGGGTGGATGTATAGAACCTTTCAACGAGATAGTGTTTTTTCAACTCTCTCAAAACGGAATCTATTCCAAACATATATGCCATGGTTACTTACTTTGACAGGGTACACATATTTAAATTTGATATTTTTAGATACTTTTTCAAACCTATTGTCTATACTAAGCAGCAATCCAAAATTTGTATCCATTTTTCATGATATTATGCATGGATCAGATATATCATAGCGAATTCTTCAAAAAAAATTGTCTTCCACAATGGAATCTGATAAGTGAGATTTCAAGTAAGTGTTTATGTAATTTTCTTTTGTCCGAAGAAATGATTCATAGAAATAATGAGTCGCCATTGATATCGACACATCTGAGATTGCCAAATGTTTAGGAGTTCCTCTATTTAATCATTTTCCTTCTTCTTGTTGACGAATATCTTGTTCATACACATCTTCTCTTTGTTTCCCGAGCCTATATTGAGTTACAGACAAAGTTTGAAAAGGTCAAATCTTTGATGATTCCATCGTACATGATTGAGTTGTGAAAACTTCTAGATAGATATCCTACATCTGAACTGAATTATTTCTGGTTAAAGAATCTCTTTCTAGTTGCTCTAGAACAATTAGGAGATTCTCTAGAAGAAATACGGGGTTCTACTTTTGGCGTCAACATGCTATGGGTGGTGGTCCCACTTATGGGATCAAATCAATACGTTCTATTTGAATATCGATCTCATTGCTATCATCAATCTCATAAGTATCATACCAAATCCCATCAATCGAATCATTTTTTTAATAAATACGAGACATTTAAGTCATACAAGTAAAGAGATCTATTCTTTGATAAGAAAAAGAAAAAACGTGAGCAATGATTGGATTGATGATAAAATAGAATCCAGGGTCGCGAACAATGATTCGATTGATGATAAAGAAAGAGAATTCTTGGTTTAGTTCTCTACCTTAACGACATAAAAAAAGGATTGATCAAATTCTATTAAGTCTGACTCATAGTGATAAGAGGGACCCTTATGTTTATGGATCACCATTCCAAGTAAATAAGAGGGAAGGGATTTCTTATAATTACAACAAGAACATGGATAAACGAAAATTATTTGATACACTGAGGGACATCCCTATCCATAATTATATAGGAGAAGACGATATCCTAGATGCTATGGGGAAATCTTCGCATAGAAAGTTTTTTTTCCTTGGTTTGAGAGGACGGGTTTAAAATTTCATTCTTTTTGTGCATCTGATACAAGATCCCCTTTCTTTTTCTTCTTGATTTCGATTCTCTAATTCAATCATTTTTTCGTTCGGTGCTATTTTTTCATCCAGAGCTATAGGGGTCCCTTTTTATTTTCAATAATATTTTTATTAATGTTCTCGTTTCCATTTAAATTTGAAATAAGTAATTTTATTGGTATGATCCATGTTTTAACTTTATATGCATCATAGAGCATCATAAATTCTAGGAAGAACCAAAACTCCGGATTCGATATAGGACGGCTTAGTATTTCTTCATTCATTCCCATCCAATAAAAAAGGAAGCCCTTTTGATTGGATATGTTGATTTCTTGATCTTGATAAATTGTGAAATAAAAAAAAGTCCATTTTATCAATTATTTGATAATTATTAATTGTTGTCTTAATATTTTTGTTACTCTTGGTACTGGTATCGACCCAGGACTCATATAAATCTTCGAGGGAAGGATCAGTTGGGATGGGATCATGTTGATATCATATTTTGATGCACATAAGTCTCGACTCTAGGCTCGCAGTCTGTTGACAATATTTTTTCGTAAGAAACTCATATAAATCTTTTCAAAAGAGACTCAATCCTAAATAAATATATAAATCACACATTTTTTAAAATTCATTCGTTTAATAAGTAAATATTTTTCATATTTATTTATTTAAATTAATAAATAAACAAACACTCAGACAATAAACACTTTGTTTTTTATGAAAATAATTCAAATAGGATACACATGGGAATGTAAATGAGCTGAGTCAAGCACAAATCAAAAAATTTAAAATTGAACTCAACTGACTTAAAAGCTCACAAGCTTAAAATTATTAAACTCAACTCGAAATAAAAAAATTAAAATTTGACTAGAAAACTCACGAGCTTAAAATTTTTAAATTTGAGTCGAACATAAAAAGTTGATGCTCGACTCAAGCTCAAAAACGTGGATTCGAAACATTCTCAGATTTAATTCGATTGAAGCTCAAACTCAAATTCAATCATGAACGCTAAGTATAAGAAAACCTTATATCGTATTTTAAAAAACCCGATAAATTTTAATATTATTAATAAATTTAAGGGTAAAGTATAGTAATGGTCACTGAACATTTCTGAAACTTGCATTTAGGTCCCCAACATTTAAAACTTGCAATACAGTCCCCCAACATTTATTCCGTTTGCAATATGGTCCCCCAACTTAAACCACAGTTAGAAAATTAGGATAAATTATATAAACGGTCATTGAACTTTTCAGTCACTTGAATTTCGGTCCCCCAACTTTTAAAACTTGCAAAACAGTCATCAATTTCATTCTAAACCCCAATTTCCAAAGTAATTCAATTTTATTCTAAACCCTAAATTCTAAAATACTTCAATTAAATTCTAAAATACTTCAATTTAAGGTAATATAGGATTGAAGAAAGAGTTCAAGGCACAGACACAACGAATAAAAATATATTTATATAAATGTATATTTATATTTAGATGTATAAATAAAAAATATATTCATATATTAATATATGAATCATTTATATTTTTTGAATATTTTATTTTTAATAAGAAATTAAAATTATTAATTATATTAGAAATACTCAACTTAAGATTATATATATAATCATGAATTATAAATATGAAAAATATAATTATTAAATTTAGTTTAAAAATATATAAATCTTAAATTTATTCTTTTAAAATATTGTATCAACTAATATTTAAAAAATATATTAAATCTATCAAACAATTTATCAAATATAATATTTTTTTATTGTAAAAAATATAATATTTTCTCATCATTTATTGCTTTCAAATTTTTTTCCGAACTTCAAATCTCATTATTTCCATTTTACATTATATTCTTTTTTTTCTGGCATTGGTCATACTATTAGTATATGTATTATTGTATATCTCTTAACACAAACGATGGTGTTAGCTTAGTGGCTCCACCCTATATCTTTCATTTGCGTGACTCAGGTTTGAGTTTGCCCGAGACCCAAATTTTACTTCTTTGTAACTTAATTTTCTTCTAATTAGGAGGTGACATGTGTCACCAATAACACATATCATGATCATGTGTTAACACATGTCAGATCCTGATTAAATGATTAATTTATTAAATTTTATTTAATTTAGGACCAAATTGATAGCATATATAAATAATTAGGTGGTAACACGTGTCACCAATGACACGTGTCATGATCATGTGCTAACACATGTCAGATCCTAATTAAATGATTAATTTATTAAATTTTATTTAATTTAGGACCAAATTGATTATATAAATAATAAAGACTGAATGTATAATAATGTCAATTCCTTTTAACTGCCACATCATCATTTTTATCAATTGGTAACGACTAGTGGCTTAGTTGAAACAGTTAAATAATTATGTGGTATGATTGATAAATTTAAAAGATCGATGACAAAAGTACAAAGGGCTAGATAGTTAAGTTGTCAACCGAGTAGTTTACACTTTTATTTATACGTCAAAATAACATTTTATAAATTTAAAATTCGAATTATTTTCAACCTCTTTTATATCCTAACTACTTTTTTTAATTAAAAAATTTCTTCAACAGATAAGAATTATACTATTATATTTATATAAAGAATACGTATCACATGAAATAAGATGAAATTAAATAATAATAACTTTGACATAATTGAATTTAATTTAAGTATTTTGGAATTTAGGGTTTAGAATAAAATTGAATTATTTTGGAAATTGGGGTTTAGAATGAAATTGATGATTGTTTTGCAAGTTTTAAAAGTTGGGGGACCTAAATTCAAGTGACTGAAAAGTTCAATGACCATTTATATAATTTATCCTAATTTTCTAACTGTGGTTTAAGTTGGGGGACCATATTGCAAACGGAATAAATGTTGGGGGACTGTATTGCAAGTTTTAAATGTTGGGGGACCTAAATGCAAGCTTCTGAAATATTCAGTGACCATTACTATACTTTACCCTAAATTTAATTTAAAAATTTATTTATTATTTTCTCAAATTAATCGCAAATTCTTCAAGTAAGATATTAAATAACTCACTTTAACTTGTTAAAAGTTCAAGTTGAGTTTAAACTTGAATCAAGTTCATTCTCAAATAACTGACGATCTGTCTTATCTCGTTCAGAACCGTAGACAAGTTAACAATTACAAGAATGAGAGAACAAAAGGCTTCCAATGTAGATGGGCAAAACCCTGCAAGAGGCTCCACAAACAATAATGTCACTCAGATTTGTCTGAGATAAATTTCACCTTCATTGCAATTGCATTGCTTCCAGTAAAAAGAAGTGCATGCAAAACAAGAATGAGAACTAATGACTTCAAAGTAGGGCTGAACAACGAAACCAAGAAAACTGAAAAATCGACATGAACCGAGTAAAACGATTCGGTTTGGCATTATACGGTTCAATTTTCGGTTCGATTTAAAGTCTCAATTCTTTTGATTCGGTTCGGGTTTTCCATATGGAACCCAGTTGTTCCATATTGAACCGAAAAAGCAATTTTTTTAAAAAAAATTATAGTTTCAAGTGATTTTTTCATTGAAAAACCGATAAACCAAACCGAACCGTTAAAAAAACTGAACCAAACCGATAAAATCAATTTCGGTTTTTTCGGTTTTTTAACCATTCGATTTCGGTTTAAATTTTGAAAAACCGTTTATTTCGGTTCGGTTCAATTTTTGGTAAAAAACCGAACCGAATACACCCTTACTTCAAAGCCAATTATGAAATCAGTACCAATAACTTGAATGTCAAGAAACTAAAAGGGTAGAGGAAGCAACTCTTATTTAACCAACTAAAGCATTAATATCCAAAAAAACATCCAAGTATTTGATAATTTAAAGCATGGGAAGTCAGTAACAACAACCAACAGAACAAGTAAACAGTTCTCAAAATTTTGCTCACAGTTTCAAAAGTAAAACGACACTAAACATCTCTAGCATCCTTATAATAAACTACTGCAGCGAAACATATCTGGATATCTTATGCTGAAGTTTAAGCAACATTTTGGGCTGCAAGCCTCTTCCTAGCTTCCTCGATGACGGATAACTTGATACCCTTGCCCTTAGGAAGAGACACCCATGGCTTTGTTCCTTTTCCAATAGTGAAGACATTACCGATACGAGTAGCAAACTCATGCCCGGCGGCATCTTGAACATGGATCGTCTCAAAGCTTCCCTTGTGCTTCTCCCTATTCTTGATTACTCCAACTCGCCCTCTGTTCCTCCCTCCAGTGACCATGACAACATTCCCAACATCAAACTTGATGAAATCAACAATCTTGTTGCTTTCAAGGTCTAGCTTGATGGTGTCATTGGCCTTGATCAAAGGATCCGGGTAACGGATAGTACGCCCGTCATATGTATTTAGGTATGGGATACCTTTCTGGCCAAACTGGACAGATCGAACCTTGCAAAGCTTGAACTGCAAAAAGCAAATAGGAACACAGTCAATACTGTTTTAACTAGAAGGGTAAAGAAAGTTGGAAAACATAAGTGTGACAAGAAGTAACAGCAGATCGAACAGCACATGAATATTCAAACCTTAGTTTCATCACCAGTGATAGCATGGAGACGGAAACGTCCTTTGGTGTCATAAAGAAGACGGAAGTCCTCGTTGGTTTTAGGAATGGACACAACATCTGGCAGAAGGTAGGAAAGCATGGTTAGGCAATATCCGAAGGGAATATTTTTAGAAAGACAGAGAGAAAGGAAACAAATCCTGAAAATGTAGCTTTTAAAGCTAATTAGGAAAAGAACAGTGCTTAACTAAAAGATCTCAGCATGTATTCCATAAAATCAGAACAAAATTGTCAATCAACCCAATATGATGTGAAAACAGAGTAATCAAACCGAAGTATTGCATTCAACTAAATACTTTGTATACCAAGAATCCAGAAAAAATTAAAACTGACAAAATCAGCTCGGAAAGTGAAGAGTATACATACCCATGAAACCAGCAGGATAGGTCTTATCTGTCCTAACCTTTCCATCAACCATAACATGCCTCTGCATGAGAATAGCAATGACTTCTCTATAGGTGAGAGCATACTTCAATCGGTTTCGCAGAATAAGGATCAATGGCAAGCATTCCCTGGACTTGTGGGGACCAGAAGATGGCTTGGGTGCCTACAAAGAAGAAAAATGCTAACAAAATTAGAACCTTAATAGACGAATCAAGAAGGTAAACTGTATCAAAAAAGAGAACTGAAAAGGATAAAGAAAACAGTAAACTTGTATGAAGGTGAAGGAATAAAGATGATAACATACAAAAGCACCACCAAGCTTGTCAAGCATCCAATGCCTAGGGGCATTGAGCCTCTTCAAATGTTTCTTCAACCCTCTAGCCTGTAACACATAGCAATCGAAAACATGTTAGTAAACAAAACCGCAATGCACAAGATGTCAAATGTATATTGAAAATGAAACTGAAATGTACAAGATACCAAATTAGCAAGCCATTTCAAAAAATAGGGACAATTAGGGATGGACCAAGGGGGCCTGGTGTGGATCGCCACCCTTGAAAATTTCAAAAGCTCTTATAATTTAGGTATTTCATTTGTATTTTCTATTAATAATCAGTTTTCTCCCTCCTAGAAGCTCTACGCCTAAAATTTTATAAGTTAGTCACTTAACATAAAATCCTTTGTCCGTCCCGGAGGACATTCATCATATAGCGGGTAAATTCACAAGGTTCCATTACGTATCAAACACTAATTAAGCATGTAATTAGCTAGATCCAGGCCGTTAAGACCACTATTACCACCCAAAACACAGACATCCAAATGCCCAACACTATACAACAGTGGGAATCAAAGGAAACCCAGAAATCATAAATATTCAGATCAATGAAGATGAATCACTTTTCATCTGTTCAGAAAGCTAGCTCAAGGCGTTAAACAACAGTGATAAGCCAAACTAATATGGAATATCCTAAACAGCAAAAACATGAAACTCACAAAACTTATCAATGAATGAAAAAGAATTAGAAAAATGATTAGTGAATCGAAGTTAGGAAGAGCAGAGGAAACTGACCATCTTGGAGAAATGAGGCTGCTGTGCTCAAAGTCCGTCTCTTGCTGGAGTCTCGAAAACAAGTAACCCTAATAACTGTATGTATTAATAGGATGAGGGCACTATATGATCATCGACCCAAATATGAATTGGACGTCCGCCATGAACGAAACTATGTTTATGGGCCTTAAGCCCAGAAAAGGTAATTTGTGTATAACATATATAAATAACTTAATTAAAAAATAAACGTTCAAATTATATCTCTCGTTTATTTTAGTTATTCAATTTCTTATAATAAAGTAGATGTTTAATTTTTTTAATTTACCATTAAATATATATATATATATATTAATTTTTTATTTTTATTTCTTTAAAAATCTTTAAAAGGTTAATCTTTTAAAAAAACATAAAAACTCCAGAATTATCCGAAATTTAAAAATCTTTAAACTTAAATCTCTAAATTTCATATACCATCATCAAATCAATCACCACCAGTCATTCTTTTTGTCGTTAGATTCTCATCAGTCAGTCATCTACCAAAATCGCACATTGTCCCAAATCACGCCGTACATTTTTTTCACCCAATCATCATCTGCTCATCGTCGACAGTAAGACTACATTGTCGCTCGAACCAAAACCAACAACAACAAAACCTTATTCTCATATGTAATGGGGTAAGGGGGAGGTAGGGTAATAGGCTGCCCCCAACATCAGGTTGAGAGCAGCTTCCGTGGAAGACCTCTGACAGTCAGAAAATTAAAAATAACGATAAAATGCAATGCATGTATAAATAAATAACTAAATACATAGTTGAACATTCTTCGTATGCAATCTACATATGCGCGTCTGTAATGGTAAGTAATCACTGCAAATAAATCCCTGCGTAAAAATCTCTGTATATAGACAGTAACGTAAGACCCGACTAAATTTAAAAAGAGAAATCATGAAGATAAGGGGATTTGAGAGTTTGAGAAATTTAAAAATTAAGAATTTTTTTAAGAAATTTAGTGTTTTCAAAAAATTAATATTAATCAGAAATTAATACTATGTGCCTTGTAATTATTGGTTGACAATTTTTTAACAACCGTCAACCTTATAATGATAAGGAAATAAAGTTTTAAAAATCTTATAATAATTTATTTACCATTGATGTCGCTCCAACCATGCTTAATCAATAAAAATTAGATTTACGGTAACGGGGGATTGTTTCAGGAAAGGCGGGCTAATATACGGCGTTACCAGATACATTATAATATATTTAACAAATTTGATTTAGCGCTACCTGAAATATCGAGTAATAACAATGTTGTAGGTGGAAATCATGAAGAAAATATTAAAAAATTTGGCAACCGACAAACTTAGCTTGTCGGTTTGTGTCGATACAAATGAAAAATGTATCGATCCATAGCAATATAACAGGTAAAAATATGATAAAACCGGTGTCATTATGATAAAACCGGTAAATCGCTACCGGATATATTAAAAGTGTCGATAAATTAATATAAGTATCGACACTTTTGTAATTTAAAAGAGAAGAAGTTATAGCGCCTAAAAAGTGTCGATACTTTATACAAATGTATCGATCCATAGCAATATAACATGTAATAATATGACAAAATAGGTCTCGAAATGATAAAACCGGTAAAAAGATACCGAATATATTGAAAGTGTCGATACATTAGTATAAGTATCGACACTTTCGTAATTTAAAAGAGAAGAAGTAATAGCACCTAAAAAGTGTCGATACTTTATACAAATGTATCGATCCATAGCAATATAATAGGTAATAATATGACAAAACAGGTCTCGAAATGATAAAATCGGTAAAAAGATACCAGATATATTTAAAGTGTCGATAAATTAATATAAGTATCGACAATTTCGTAATTTAAAAGAGAATAAATTATAGCGCCTAAAAAGTGTCGATACTTTATGAAAACGTATCGATCCATAAAAATATAATAGGTAAAAATATGACAAAACCGATATCGAAATGACAAAACCGGTAAAGCGCTACCGGTTATGTTGAAAGTGTCGGTACTTTAATAAGTATGCGTAAACAAGTGTCGACACTTTAAAAGAAATAGGTAAATATACTATCGAAAGTATCGACATTTACATAAAAAGTATCGACACTTATGTAATTGTATCGATTAAATATAAATAACATATCTGGTGTAAATATAAAGGCATAGCTAAATTTCCTCTGAAAATAGATAGAGTTTTTGAAATCGAAGCGTAATTGTTGCTACATTTCAGAAGGCGTTTCTACGTTGAAGTTTGTTTGTTTGTTGCTGCATTTCAAATTGAAAGGTACGTTGTTGAAACCCTAGTTTTTTTATTATTACAGTAATTATGGTTTTTATGTGTTGTTGTTTGGGGTTTTCAAAGTAAAGAAGCATTTGAGACCAATTACATGTAGAAAGTGATCTTCTAGGTAGATGATAAATATCGATACTTTTATTTAATATTATAGGTATAAAATGATATTATAGGTTGTATAAATGTGCCGCTACTTGGAGTATTGAGTGTTCCCATTCGTTTGAAGGAAATAGGGAGGTTTTGGGACCGATTATTATATAATATTATAGGTAGAAAATAAATATGGATACATGTATATAATATTATAGGTAGAAAATGATATTTTAGGTTGTATAAATGTGCCGACACTTGTTGTAATGGCCATTCAAATTCTATTGAAGACCAACCGTTTTACCACAAGAGTGGTTATCGATTTTTGTATATAAGTATTTGATTTGATTTGCGTAAACTGATATATGAAGGAAAAATGAAGTCAATGGGTGGAAAGCAACCAAATAGTGGATATATGTACTTCTAGTAAGTATCAATTTCTTTTTGTTATTATTGTTGAAATGGTAATTGGATTAAAGTATTTAGGAACTTTAAATTGATTACAAATTTTAAATGTTGACAGTATGGACGAATGCAAAAGGATGAAGGAAGATGGCACACACAGCGGTTCAGTATGTAAAATGAAATTGACATTGAGTATTATTTAGCTTTAATGTATTGATTAAGAAACATTTATGCTTAATATTAGGTGAAAAAAGATGTGAGGTCGAAATAGAATTCGATGAGTGATGCTCAAAAGGAACTTTACATCACACAGTCAAGGAATGATAGTAAATAATACAAAGAACGGAGGAAAACACATGTAAAGAAGGTATTCATTAAACTTGTAAATACGTTGATACAAGATATATAAGAACAATAACATTATATATTGTTAAAAAAATATAGGACGTGTCGACAAGGTGCAGCATAAAAAGGGTGTATTCATTAATTGAACACCTTAAAAATAATGATCAGTTGAATGTGCTGAGTGAAATGAGGTTTGGATCATTGATAGGAGTAAATGATCGACCAATTCAGAAGGAATTGTGTCGATCCTTGATGGAGCAATTTGATGTCAAACAATGTATTGCTAAATATGGCGATTATTTATTCCCTCTGGGGGTATCGACTGTTGCAGCCTTCTTGGGGGTACAAAACAAAGGCAAAAGTGTTGTAGAAGTCTGTAGGAGTAAGAACTGGAAAGCAGTTGCCTCCAAATATGGTTTGAATCATAAGGTGACATATGCTGAAGTTGAAGAGGATATCAAAAGCGGATCTTACCGGGGGGATGAGCTGAAGGCCCGAGTTCTATTGTACCTTGTCGGGATATTTCTTTGTCCAACGGGTGATACGTCAACGAACAAGGACAATATGAAGCTCATTTACGATGAAGGCTTGAAGGGTGAATTCAATTGGGTTGAATATGTCCATTCAAGATTGATTGAATCAATAATCACCTTTCAAAAGGGCAGCCAGAGATACCTCAAAGGGTGCATAGCAATCTTAGAGGTAACTGAGTTGAAGAATTTTTTTGTTTTTTTTATATAAAATGATTAATTTTATTATAAATGCAGGTTGCACTGTTCGATTATTGGTCTGGCTGTGATAGTTTGCCGGCTTATGAAAGATACAGAGTGGCACACATCCGTGCATGGGGGAAGGAAGAGGTGGTTAGAGTGATGGCGAAGTTGAAGGTGGATAGACCGAGGAAGCTATAAATGGTAATAAATGATTAAATAATATTAAGAATATAATCAATGTCTTAATACAAATTTAATTTTGAAGGTTATTTTCAAGGACGTAGAGGAGACAGAGAAGGCAGAGGAGGCAGATGAGAGGGAAGAAGAGATGGTTGGAGGGGTGGATGACGGTCAGGGGGATTACGGTCAGGGAAAACAGAGTAAATTCGACATTTTGATGTCTGAATTGGCTGATATTAAAAAAATCGTTTTTGATATTCATCAAAGACAATCAAGAGTCGAAGAGACACATGAAAGGCATAAGATGGAAGTGGAAGGAAAGATAGATGTATTGGTGAAAAAAGTTGAGGTGTTGAGTGGTGAAGTTAATATGTTGACGAGTGGAAAAATTGATGGAGTTGTCAAAGAGGTTGTGGAAATAAAGAGTGAACTTTCGGGGGTGAAGGAGGTGGTTCAGAAAAACTTAGATGAAGGGGGGAAATTGAAGGGTGAAATAAAATAGATGAAGAGCTATGTAGAGAAAAAATACGATGAACTGAGAAAATTTGAAGAAGAAAAGATGGAGGAAGAAGAAAAGATGGAGGAAATGAAGAGAAATGATGTCAGTAACATCTATACACCGGAGAGTATTATAGATGCAGATTTGGATTCAGAATGTCCTGCACCCCCAGAAGAAGAAGCAGAAGGTAAGTTGAATAAAAGATAACTTAATTTGATTTTTATCATGTTGTTGTGACACAAATTTGTATGCAAAACTGTAGGTTGTAAAAGCGGATATTCCAATCGGAATTGAACCGGTCGAAGCTGCACTTTGTGATTATTTATGGAATAGTGGGTTAGAATCGGGGTAAGTCACTTATATTGATTTGTGAGTGATATTTAAATATTTCATGAAAAGATATTAATTCTAATGATTCATACAGATATACTGTAATCTCAATGGGAAATCAATACGCACAAGTATCCAACGTTGCAACGTTGAAGCCTATGGAATGGGTTGGCGGTGTGGTAAGTAGAAATCAATTAAAAGACAAAACCTATTGAATATGTTCTGATTGTGTAATTAATTTTGTTAGGTTATTGATTTGCTCGCCTGGAC